TGCCTTGGGTCGTCCAGGGCGTCTTGGGTCGTCATGCTGGTGAGGGGGATCTGGAACGTGTGGGGAGCCCTCTTGAGGCGATCTGGGGCTCGTGTCGGGCCGTGCAAGAACGTACTGGGTCGTCTCAGAGCAAAGTGGGAAGCGTCTGGGGCTGTTCACTACACGTGACAATCTAGCAAACACCTGGGTGAAATGCATGGAATGCGGCTCTGGGGGCCCTTTTGGGCAGGTTTTCGGCGACTTCGTGGGGCGACTTGGAAGCATCGTGGGCTGTCAGGAGGCTGTCAGGAGGCTGTCTTGGGCCGCTATTATGGCAAGGAGGGGATCCCTGGATCGACTTGCAAGTCTGAGGGGCTGGTTGGCGGTTTCGTGGGGGGTCTGGGGACCCTCTGGGCCTGTTGTAGGGCCGTGTTGGAAGGCCCCTGGGCAGTCTCAAACAGAACTCTAGGGCGTCTGGGGCCGCTCCCGATTGGACCAGAGCTGGGCAAGCGCAAGCGTGAAAATGCACGAAATACCCATTCAAAATTCACGAGATTCGGCCCTTGGGCCTCTTGGGCGGCAGGAGTCCGGCGGCTTCCTGAGGCGGCTTGGAGGCATTCTGGGCGGCCTGGAGGCTGTCTTGGGCGCCTCGTGTCGCTGTGGCAGTGAGCGGGCGGGGGCGGCTTTGGGCTCCTCCGGGACGGCTCCCGGAGGTCTGGGGGACCTACTCGCCATCGCTCGGACATCCATTCCCTGTGTTTTTTTGTCGGTTTCGTGCGTGGTTTCTTCGCCAAGTGATGAAGGATGCTCCTCGATGGTCCTCGCCGAAGGAAAAAATGCACACGTCCGAGCGATGCCAAGCCTGTGGCGACGCGAGGCGGGCGGCAGGGCGCTCCTCCGGGAGGGCCCCCAGAGGCCCGGGGCAGCCATGGCGACGCGAGGCAGCTGGCAGGGCCCCCCCCGTATCCCTGTAGTGTGTATGTAGATATACATATGCATATAGATATATATATATATATATATATATATATATCCCCCCCCAAGATCATACCTTTTCGTCTCCTCATCCTCGACTGCTTCATTTCCTTTTTCTCTCTCTCTCTCTCTGTCTCTCTCTGCCTCTCTCTCTCTCTCTTCTCTCTCTCTCTCTCTCTCTCTCTCTCTCTATATCTCTCTCTCTCTCTCTCTCTCTCTCTCTCTCTCTCTCTACGCAATGCTTGGCGCCACCGATGCAAGGAAACGCTGTGTATGTTTTGCTTTTTTGTTTTTTTTGTCTGCGAAGCCACGAAACACTGTTTTTTTTTTGTTTGGTTTTGAGAGGCACAGAGAGGGGTGCTGGGAGGGAGGCCGCGGCGGACACGGGGGCTTGCAAACCCAAAAAAAACAAAACAACAAAAATACGCAATGTTTCGTGGCTTCGCAGACCAAGAAAACCAAAATAAACAAAAATACGCAGCGTTTCCGTGCACCGGTGGCGCCAAACACGGGCAGCCTGGGCCTCCTCCCCCTCCCCACCTCCGGCGTGATGGACCATGGGACCTGAAAAAACGCGAGGAGGTACCGAAGGAATCCGTTGAACATTTTTCGGCACCGCACAATAGGAGTACTTTATAGCAGTACAACGCAATAGGAAACAAATTCGGAGTATAATAAGAATACAATATGAATACAACGCAAGAGGAATCAAACAGATATATAATTGGAAACTAGTATGATTTCAATAGCAACCTAATAGACAAGAACGTGACGTGTGACATTCCCTTTTGCTGTTTTTCCTAAAAGCAGCCGCTACACAGGCAGGAGGCAGCAACGAGTGCACGAAGGGGACGTGTGGAGTGACACGATGGCGATGTGCAGCCCTACCATTAGCACAACGAGTATTACTACCACGATTTACTACTACTACTACTACTACTACTACTACTACTACTACTACTACTACTACTGCTAGCACTACTACTACTACTACTACTACTACTACTACTACTACTACTACTACTGCTACTACTACTACTACTAATAATACTGATACTACGGTTAGTGCTACTGCTACTCATACTACAACTACTACTACTACTACTACTACTAATACTACTACTACTTCTACTACTACTACTACTACTACTACTACTACTACTACTACTATAATGTTGCTGCTGCTGCTGCTACTACTACTACTACTACTACTACTACGACTACTACTACTACTACTACTACTACTACTACTACTACTACTACTACGACTGCGACTACTACTGCTGTCGCTACGAATACTACTACTGCTACTACCACTACTGCTACGACTTCTTTTACTATTGCTACTACTACTACTACTACTACTACTGTACTACTACTACTACTACTACTACTACTACTACTACTACTACTACTACTACTACTACGACTACTACTACTACTACTACTACTACTACTACTACTACTACTACTACTACTACTACTACTACTACTACTACTACTACTACTACTACTACTACTACGACTACGCCGCGAGCTGCTTGAGCCTAGGTCGGGGCGCAGCGCGCTAGCTCGCGTTAGATGCCCTTTCCTCCTCCTCCTCCTCCTCCTCCTCCTCCTCCTGCTCCTGTTCCTGTTCCTGTTCCTCCTCCTCCTCCTCCTCCTCCTGCTCGTCCTCTTCCTCCTCCTCCTCCTCCTCCTCCTCCTCCCCCTCCCAATCGGATTTCATTATCGGGGACGGGATCCAGCAAAACCCTTGGACAGGGTTCATGAGAAGAAGGATGAATGCGACTCAAGACGAGATGTATGATCTTGGGGGGGCAACCATCTATATATATATATATATACATATATATATACAGATCGATATATATATATATATATATATATATATTTATATATATATAGATATATAGATCGATATATATATATATATATCGTCATATATACATATGTATATATATAGAGGATAGATATATATATATATATAGAATATACAATTATAGGGAAAGAGAGAGAGAAAACAAAACAAACAAGAGAGATAGAGAGATAAATTAACAGAACAAAAAGAGAAGCAGAGAGAGAGAGAGAGATATCAACACACATGCACCCCTACACGCAGTCTGCATCCCTCCACCTGCTGCCTGCTGCGCACTCCGAGCGGCGCGCGGGTGGGCAGAGGCGGTCGCCCCAAAGGCTCGCACGATCTACACGAAAGGCATCCGGAGCAGTCGCGCGACGCCTCTCTCTTTGCGGCGGAGCCGCCGAGGCCGAGCCTCCTCCTCCTCCTCCTCCCGAGCCCAGCGCGGCAGGCCTGGGCCGCGCCCATGCAGCTCTGCCCAGGTGTGCCGAGGCAGGGGGGCCCCGCGGCGGAGACAGGAGGAGGGCGGCCCGGCCCCCCCCTCTCGTGCGCAGAGGGCCCCGGAGGTACACAGCACCCGGGCCCGAGGCGGAGCGTCCAGGGGAGGGGGGCCTCCGGCTCCTCTTCCTCTTCCCCCTCCTCCTCCTCCTCCTCCTCCTCCTCCTCCTCCTCCTCCCCCTTGTTCAGGGGGAAGGCATCGGCCTGAGATCGGCGGTACGTCGCCGACAGATCGCGAACCCGCACACTCCTGGGCGGGGTGGACTCTCGGGCCCCCGTCGGCGCTCCGTGGTCGACTCTGGGGGGTCGATGCGTGGACCGGAGGGAAGTCGGTGCACTCCCATCCTGGACTCATCTCCTCATGAAGTTGCCCCCCCTGGATGCCTGGTCACGACGATTTGCGGCGCGCAGATGGGGAGGGGGGGAAGGCTTCCTAGAGCGAGTCTGCTTTTTGGACGACAACGACCTAATCTATGGAGAAGGCCCGCGCCTGCTACGAGACACCCTCCTTCCAAGAAGCCCTCCCCCTACCCCTAATCCCCTGCGCGACTGGCCGATGAATGCCTGGTCTTAGGTCGGGAATGTCCTTCTACAGGCGGATTCTGGACGAACCATGATTTGTTATATTCATGTATCTATAGACATATCGATATATGTGCATATATGAACATATATATATATATATATACACATCCATTAAAAATACAGCAAATCATAGGAATGCCGTCCCCTGATCGTTTGATTTATTTTGAATCCCCCCCCCTTCCCCCCGCCCCCCTCCCCCCTCGCCCCCCCCCCCCCCCCCCTCGCCCTCCCCTCCTTCCTCCGGCACGTGTTTGGCGTGTCTGTTGCGCCATGCATGCGTTTAGTACGCTTTCTCATATCCTGCGCGCGATCGGCGCGCCGCGCTCCAACTTTATGACCTATCTCCCCTACGCGCCGCATGGCGTATGGCTTGTACTTACGAGAAGGGGCATGCCCGACCTGAGCCCGGTCAGGACTCTCCCGGCCCCCGGCGGGGTGCACGTGCCCTCCCAGGCCGAGGCCCTCAGGCGCCGGGGCCTGGCCCGGGAGCCTGCGGTGCACGGGCGGCCCCTCTGCAGCTCTCGGCGGCGCGCAGAAGGGGTTAGCGGGAGGAGGGAAGGCTTCTTAGATAGGGGGCCACATGCGAGCCCTGCCCCTACCCCCCACGATTTCTAAGCGGGGTGAGGGTTCACTCCGCGAGGGACCTCCCGAACAAAATGACCCCCACCGCCCCTTAGAGATCGTGGGGGGGCAGGGGCAGGGTTCACATGTGGCCACCGATCAGAAGCACCCTGCTTCGCAAAAGGCCCCGGCCTTGCATGTATAGAGGAGCCTTGCGCCTGCTAAGAAGCAGGGGTGCCTCTAAGAAGCCTTCCCCCCTCCCCCTAACCACCCCTGCGCGTGGCCGAGATCAAAGAGCGGCGTGCGCACAGAGTGCCAGGCGTCCGCGCGGAGATCTCCGTGGCCGGCGCTGGACCCCCTCGCGCGGCGAAGCGTGCCGGGGGCACCGCCAGTCAGGGCTGGACCTAAACGTTGTGTTTCGTGCTGTGTTCGTGCTGTCGTTCTGTTTGCTCTACCTGTTTTCCTGTACCGTCCTCCCAAAACTAAGAACATAACACAGCCGAAGTGCAGCAACACAGCGTTTCGGTCCAGCCCTGCCGCCAGTGGGGGGCCCAGAGCCGACCAGGAGGTCCGACGACCACCCCAACACAGCGTTCTGTTCCCCGATGACCGCGGTTCGGCGGTTCGGGCAAAAGGCGCCCCGACCTCCTGACTTGGAGACATGGGGTCCCAGTACATTTGGTCGGAAGATCGTGCCGCATCGCCCATGCATCGCCGACGTCGGCAATGCAACTGCACCATCGGCGTGGGGAAAATCTGGCTCCACATCGAGCTGCGTCGGCGACGCATCGGCGATGTGATCCATCCACTCCAGCCCCATCTTGGGGAGGCCAAAAAGGGGCGATGTCGCCACTCCCACGACCGCTGACCCAGGATGCGTTCTGACCACAGTGTCGCGTCGTCTCCAGCCGTGGCGACGAGGCTCTCTCAGGAGGCACGAAGCAACAACAAAAACGAAACATCGCCAGCAAACCACGACCTAATCCCTGGACCCCATCTCTCTGCTGCATGTTTCGAGCCGGCTCGATCACAGATCCCCGGGGCCCGAAACCCAGCGAAAACGCCCGTTGCGAAAACATTGCAGCACCTGGATCTCGGGAAACGGGCGCGAGCTAAACAATGTTATTTCCAATTGCGTAAAGTGTTCGTTTTCCCTCGTTCTGTCCTCGTCCCGCCTTCGCCGCAAAACAACATCAAAACGAAAACGGCCCACGAAATCGCCAAAACACTGTTTAGCTCGAGCCCTGCGTGGCGGTATGGGTGCCTTTGGGGCGGGGACATTGGGAAGGGCAAAGAGATGAAGGTGCTATAGGTATGGGTGCGCGCTGTCGGACCCCAGGAGGGGCTCCCGTTCGAGTGGAGGACCCCATCTGACAATATACACCCACGCCCCCCCCCCCACACAGAATCCCACTGGCCTTCTGGGCGTAAGTGGTCTAGAGGGCATTCTCTTCTAACCCCTTGTTTTCCCTTCGGGCAGGGGTTCACCACTGTTCCCTATTAACATACATCCCTTCCCCCAGGCGACTGGGAGCCAACCGCGGACGATGAGGGCCCCCCCACCACCATACTTTGAAATAGACTGATACAAACACACACACACACACACACACACACACACACACACACACACACACACACACACACACACACACACACACACGCACGCACGCACGCACGCACGCACGCACGCACGCACGCACGCACGCACACACACACACACACACACACACACACACACACACACACACACACACACACACACACACACACACACACACACACACACACACACACACACACACACACACACACACACACACACACACACACACACACACACTCTCTCTGCCTCCAAATTCGGAGCATGCGCGGCGAACCCGATGCGGCCTCCCACCCACCATCCTTGTCAAAATACAATACAAAGTACACTTGGCGGCGGCGGCGGCTGCGGCGGCGGCTGCGGCGGGGGCGGCGGCTGCGGCGGTGGTGGCGGTGGTGGCGGCGGTGGCGGCGGCGGGGACGGCGGCGGCGGCGAAGGCGGCGGCGGTGGCGGCGGCGGCGGCAACGGTGGCGCAAGGGGCTGCGGCGGTGGCGATTCGGCAGCGGGGGCGGCGGCGGCGGCGTCGGCGGCGGCGGCGGCGGGCGGCGGCGGCGGCGGCGGCGGCGGACAGCGGCGGCGGCGGCGGCGGCGCGGCGGCGGGCGGGCGGCGGCGGCGGCGGAGGCGGCGGCGACGGATTCGCCCCCAGTAGCTGCCCATCCAAAGACGACTGCTGAATATGCTGCGGCTCGGGCCAGGCTCGGGTGCTACGTATGTGTTGGGAGGGCGGGTGGGAGTGCGCCAAACGGCTTGCGTGCGGGGAGGGAGTCTTGATTACTGTTCCCTATTAATGTACACCCCCTCCCCCGCGCGACTGGGAGCCAACCGCGGTCAATGCGGGCTCCCCACACCATCCTTTGCAACAAGACAATACAAACACACTCTTCCAAATTCGGAGCATGCGCAGCGAACCCGATGCGGCCTCCCCCCACCATCCCTGTCAAAATACAATACAGAATGCACTTGGCGGCGGCGGCGGCTGCGGCGGGGGCAGCGCTGCGGCGGCTGCGGCGGTGGCGGCGGTGGCGGCGGCGGTGCGGCGGCGGCGGCGGCGGGACCGGTGGCGGCGGCGGGGGCGGCGGCGGCGGCGGCGGCAGCGGTGGCGGCAGCGGCGGCCGCGGCAGCGGCTGCGGCGGCGATTCGGCGGCGGCGGCGGCGGCGGCGGCGGCGGCGACGGCCGCGGGCGGCGCGGCGGCGGCGGCGGCGGATTCGCCCCCAGAAGCTGCCCATCCAAAGTCGACTGCTGAATATGCTGCGGTTCGGGCCAGGCTCGGGTGCTACGTACGTGTTGGGAGGGCGGGTGGGGGTGAACGAGATGGTTTGCGGGCGGGGAGGATTACTCTTGACCCCCCACCATACCCCTTCCCCCTCCCCTGGACCTGGAAGGGGGGGGGGTTCGCGAGGCGCTGGAGCGTCCCAAATGGCCCAAGATGACCCCAAGACGGCCCCAGAGAGCCCAAGGGAACCCCCAAGATAGATCAACATAGTCAAAAATGGCTCCAGATGGCCCCCAAGATGCTACAAGAGGCCCCAATAACGCCCCCAGACAGCTCCAAGATGCCTCCGAACTTCCCTTGAGGCCGCCAAGACACCAAAATCCATCAGAAGCCAATGGAACATCAATGAATTCAGCCTTGTCGCCTTTTCGCTTCCGATGGCCTTCCGAGGCCTTAAGACAGCTCAGAAAGGACCAGAAGGGCGCCAAGACATGCCCAAGAGAGCCCCAGGACGGCCCCAAGAGCGCCCAAGAGCGCCCCAAGAGCGCCCCAAGAGGGGCCCAAGAGGCGATGTTAGGGACTCAGTGGGTGTCGTAATTAGAGCTCTCATCTTGTTTGATCGATATCCTCCAAGATGGCCCAACGTGCGTTCCCAAGGCTCCCAAGAGCGCCTGAAGAGGGCCCCAAGAGGCGCCCAGGAGGCCCCAAGACGCGCCCAAGAGGCCTCCAAGAGGCTCCCAAGAGACCCCCAAGAGGCCAAGAGCGCACCAAGAGGGACACTTCCTCTATGTGCTGCCCACTTCCCTGATCGAGGCAACTCACCTGTGGGCATCGTCTCTGGATGGGCTGGTGGGGTTACTTTTGGGCCTGCGGGCTCGCGAAGCAGGTCGAAAGCCGTCCGAACACGAGTCGGGCCGCGACTAGGCAGCAAGAAAAGAGAGGCAAGCGAAGCGAGCGCGCGGGTAGCCACTCAGACGAAGAGCCAAAAACGAAACTCCCAACCTGGTGGCGTGAAGGTCCTGGTAGCGAAGCGTCAAGAATTCTACCCCGAGAGATTTTGGGGTCGCACAGGTGTGGGTGCTAGCTGCCAGCTCATGGTCCTACTCGGACACCGGCTCGGAAGGCCTGCATTAGGTCGGGCATGTCCTCCTACAGGCGGATTTTGGGCGAAAAATGCAGCATGAGCAAACACATACTCAAAAAGGATTAAAAAGATTGTAGAAGAATCGTCCCCATACAATTTTCAATATTTCTGAATATTCCTCCTGTAGAGGGACACGCCCGACTTAGTCCGACTCGGACGCCGGCTCGGGAGGCCTGCGGACTCACTCCACTTCCAGCAATTTCCCCTGGGTCGTCGTGGAAACGGCCGCCATGGCGCGGCCGCCCGACACGAAGCCGGCGCCGGGGCCAGCGGTGGTGACGGAGACGAACAGCTGGTTGGGGTCCTGAGGAACTCTTGTAGGGGAACGAAAATGACATAAACATAAAAACTCGGAGGTCCGCACAGATTTCTTGGATCCGCGCTGGACCCCCCTCCCTGGCGCGCGGAGCGCGTCAAGGGCGGCGCCAGCGGCGCCGCTAAGGGGCTCCAGCGCGGATCCAAGAACTCCGCGCGGACCTCCGAGTTTTTATGTTTATGTAATTTGTTCGTTTCCCTATCTCGTTAGACTGAGAAAGAGGCGGCAGGAGCGGAAGCTTTTGGCGCTCCGCGCTGACTTCTTGGACCTGCGCTGGCCCCTCCCCTCCTGGCGCGCGGAGCGCGCCAGGGGCGGCGCTGGAGGCGCCGCCGGGGGGCAGCGTTTCGCTCGGGACATCCTCACACATGATTCCGCCGGCCCTTTCCGACCTCGATATCTGTCAGGGAACAGTTCGGCAGACCCTGCCCCCAACATGGCACCGGCGACAAGTTTGTTGGTAGTCCCCAAACGTGGTGGTGACAACACCTGGCGGTGAGTCTCGGGCGATTTGGTGTCACCACCCGGTTTGGGGACTCGTGCGGTTTTCCGAGGGTGTCCCGGACACTGGTGGGTCCAGGAGTCACAAAACCCGGTGGTGACCCCGCGTCCCCAAACCCAGCGGTGACCTTTTTGGGGATTCCAGGTCGCCACCTGGTATCTCACCACCCGGTTTGGGGGTTCCTAAATTTACCAACTGAGGGCCTTTGCCCTTTCCGGGAAACACTCGAGGACTGAAGTAAGATCGCGCCCAAAGTATGTGGGAACCTGGAATCCAAAAAGACCTGCACTCAACGACCGATGTGCAAGCTGAGGTGTGAGGAAGATACCTCTTCGGCAGCAGCAGCAGCAGCAGCAAGACGAGGACTAGGACCACGACGAAGAGGATCAGCAGCCAGGACAGGTGCCGCAGGAGCAGCGCGCGGAGACCAGGGAGCGTGCGAAGCAGGGCCGAAGGCGGGGAGCACGAGCGGGAGCAGCATGGGTACGAGTAGCAGCGGAGGGGCTCCGTCAGGAGGGACAGGTATGCGTTCTGCAGGTCCCGCCAGGTCAGCTTGGACAGGACAAACTCGATGTCGGACACGCAGGACAGGTCCTTCGGATTGCCGTCGTGCTGCAGGTGGGTCAACAGGGACATCCAATACTCGTTTGTCTGGAGGTCCACCTCGTGCCTGGAGTTGGCGCCGCGCCCCAGGGGGAAGGCGGAGGGGGCGGGCCTTCCCAGGGGGCGCAGCCTCCTGGGAAACTTCATGAGCCTTCTCTGAAGCGAGGGGCAGCTTCTCAGAGGCCAGAGGGCTTCTAAGAATCCCCGCCGCCTCCCTTGAAGGCCCACCCCCTCTTCACCTCCCTCCGCGGCAAGCCGAGGACACTGGAGCAGCAGACGTCGCAACCTCAGGCAACAGACCCTGCCGGCCTCCTCCTGTCCAGACCTTGTTGCCTCACCACAGGCCCACGAGGCACGGCCGCACGAGCTGGCCGGCGAGGGCAAAACGAGACGCCCCCCGAGGCAGGAAAACCTCTGGGAACCAGCAAATACATCCGAAAACCCGGCTGACCCAGACCCCGACACCACGACTGTTTGTGCACAAGTGGACACCCGGAAGGTCTCGGCCGCTTCGCTGGGACCAAATGTCCATCCCGAATCTCTCTGGCATCCCGGGGCCCAGTGCGAGTTGGCGGCGCGCAGATGCAGGTAGGGGGAGGGGGAAGGCTTCTTGGGAGGAGGCTGCTTCTTAAAGGAGGCTGCTTCTTACAAGGCTGCAACTACAGACAAGGCCTTCGCCTTTTAAGAAGAGGGGCGCTTCCAAGAAGCCTTTGCCCTCCCCCTGCCCCTCTCTGCGCGTGGCTGGGAAGCCCCCGCAAGCCGAAAATGATCATAAAAAACTCCCGTCGTGATTCTTGTCGAAACGGAAGCTACCCTTGATCCCAGGCCAGGCAACTTGAGGAGCCCCTAGGCGCCGGCGCAACAGCGTCCTGCGAGCTGTGCTCAGCTCCCACTCGGAGATGGGCCTCTTCCGCACGCCGGTCACGACGCCCTTTGCCGCCTCCACGGCCTCCCCTATTCGGGAGGGGTGGGCGCTAACGGTGCACATGTACCAGCCCGCCTCCAGGCGGTCCTGGGGGGGACAAACGAATACCAAAATATATAACGTATTGAAAAATACTTAATCGACCCATGAACCCGGAAAGGGATGATCTAGCAATGTGAAGCGTGGAAACTGCCCAAGACATCAAATTTGGGCGACGGGCAATTCCAATGTGCAAAGCAGCGATGGTGGTGTACAGTGCAAGGGACTGTGCTGTGCTGTGCTGTGATGAGCTGAGACGCGCCATGCCAAGTTGAAATGCTGTGCTCTATTGCATTGTGGATCAGGTCGTCCATGGCGTCAGAATACCGCTCGAACTGACCTGGATCTTATGATCGAGCTGCCTGATCGAAGCGCGCGGGGCGCTCGACCAGCTCGAGCTCAAAATCCGATCAAACGTGACGAAACGAAAGGGGGTGAATCTGAACACATCTGTCCTGTGTTGCGCGATGGGTAAAATCTTCCCTGGCATCCGAATCCTCACGGAACTGAGCTGTGATGGGCCTGCTTTCCACGACCACCACCATAAGTAGGAGGGGGAGGGGGTCCACCTCCTCCTCCTCCTCTTTCTCCTCCTCCTCCTCTTCGTCCTCCTCCTCGTCCTCCTCCTCCTTCCCCCCTCCAACTTACGGTGGTGATAATGAAAAACAGGTCCATCAGAACTGAGCTGGGCCTCAAGCTCGAGCTGCCTGGGCGCGCTGCTCGCCCAGAGCTGTTTTGCAGTCGAGGCCTTAGGAACGCATTGTGTTTCGCGCCGCGCAAGCCCTCGCGTGTTGTCACGCTGGCTCCGCCCTGAGGCGAAAGGGACCCACGTTAGACGACCGCGTTCCACTACTCGCAAAGTAGCTACTCGCAAATGGCATGGACCCGCCGTTGTGGACCGGATATAAATAACAGCAAAAAGGACATGCGTCGATGCGAAAAAGACTGGGGCGAAAGGGACGGCCTCTCCACTTCTCCAAACCGAGCGTTTCGCTCAAGCCGATCTGAAAAGTTCTGCGCGCAGGACGCGCCATCCTCGAGCGAGGACGCAACAGGTAAGCATTTCTATATGTGTTGCAAAATCTTTCGGACTCCAGGCAAACTGTATTGAACGCAGACTCTGCGGGAAAGGCTCCGCATTATTCCCTACCTAGGCTCTGCCTAGAAGGGTTCTTACTCTCTTAGCTTAAAGGGCCGGGCAATGGAAACCGCCCCGGGCGGTTCCCCCAGTCCCCGCCCCGCGGTTCCCCCAGTCCCCTGGGAGCTTTAGCCTTAGCTTTAGCTTTAGCTTAGTTTTAGCTTTAGTTTTAGCTTTAGCTTAGCTTTAGCTTAGTGCTAGCTTAGCTTTAGCTTAGCTGTAGCTTAGCTTTAGCTTAGTTTTAGCTTAGTGTTAGCTTAGTGCTAGCTTAGCTTTAGCTTAGCTTTAGCTTAGCTTCAGCTTAGCTTCAGCTTAGCTTTAGCTTAGTGTTAGCTTAGCCTTAGCTTAGCTTTAGCTTAGCTTTAGCTTAGCTTGAGCTTAGCTTTAGCTTAGCTTTAGCTTAGTGTTAGCTTAGCTTTAGCTTAGTTGTAGCTTAGCTTTAGCTTAGCTTCAGCTTAGTGTTAGCTTAGCTTTAGCTTAGTATTAGCTGAGCTTTAGCTTAGCTTTAGCTTAGCTTTAGCTTAGTGTTAGCTTAGCTTTAGCTTAGCTTTAGCTTAGCTTCAGCTTAGTGTTAGCTTAGCTTTAGCTTAGCTTTAGCTTAGCTTTATCTTAGCTTTAGCTTAGCTTTAGCTTAGCTTTAGCTTAGCGTTAGTTTAGCGTCATCTTAGCTTTAGCTTTGGCTTTAGCTTAGCTTTAGCTTAGTGTTAGCTTAGCCTTAACTTAGCTTTAGCTTAGCTTCAGCTAAGCTGTAGCTTAGCTTCAGCTTAGATTTAGCTTAGCTTTAGCTTAGTGTTAGCTTAGCCTTAGCTTAGCTTTAGCTTAGCTTCAGCTAAGCTGTAGCTTAGCTTTAGCTCAGCTTGCGCTTAGCTTTAGCTTAGCTTTAGCTTAGTGTTAGCTTAGCCTTAGCTTAGCTTGAGCTTAGCTTCAGCTTAGCTTTAGCTTAGCTTTAGCTTAGCTTTAGCTTAGCTTTGCTGTTACTACTAATGCTGCTTTCCTAGGGGCTCCAACTCCTAGGTAGGGTCGCACTGGGATAATCTTTTTTACGAGCGAAGACGAAGCTCAACGGACCTCAATATGTATCGCGGATCCGACATGGGACGACCGCCTTCCTCGAGCGGTCACGCACCGGATTGGATATCGTTTTACATGGAATTCCACCAGGCTCCCTTCAACATGGTACCCAAAGTCAAATTTAACACAACTCAAAAAAACCCTGGACCGGAGCCCTTTCCGGGAACTTGATCGACCCACGAACTCGGAAAGGGATTCAGAACTGCGAGGCATTGAAACGTGTCAAATGGCTTCAATTGGGCGATGGCCAGTGGCAATGCTGAAGACTTCGATGGTGATGATGCTGCGCCAGGGGCGGATGCGTTGTGCTCCGCTGCGCTGTGCCGTGCCGCATCGTGACGTGCCACGGGACGCGCCAAGGGACATGCCAAGGGGACGAGCCGCGGAACGCCGAAAGGGACGCGATAGGTAACAAGCCTCGAACGTATCCCTATCCCTAAGACGGGCAAGCAAAAAGCGAGGACAATCTTAGGGACAGGCCCTCAGAAACTGAGGGAATCATCAAGATCGGCATCGAGGTAAGATGATATCAAACATAGGGATAGGGATATGTTTCAAACTGGTAAATAGGGGACGTGCCAGGAGACGCACCGCGGGACGGGCCAAGGGGACGCGCAACTGAAAAAAGCACGGACGTGCCAAGGGGGGCGCGTCGGGGGCCGTGCCACGGGACGCGGCACGGGGCGCGCCAGAGACGTGCCAAGGGACGCGCTGCGGATCGCCTGGAGCCTCCTAGGATCTCCACGACCCGTTCGTCGTCGAGATGCCATGGGCCACGCGATCCCTCGTAAATCACGCTGTGTCGCGCCCCCTGGGCTACGATCCATCGCAGATGCCGCTGGGCTCGCGCTCCCAGTGCCACGGTACTAGTAAGTGATGCTGCGTCCGCTCCTTTAAGGCCACAATCCCTTTCAATGTTCGTAGCGTCCGCGCTCACAGTGCCACGACCCCTCGTAAATTATGCTGGGCTCGCGCTCCCAGTGCCAAGATGCTTCGCACAATGCACTCGACCCCTGCGACATCAGGGAGATATGCCGAAGGCATGCCGAAAGTATGCCGGCCAGACCCCCCACTCCCCTCGCTCCCCCAGGCCCTCGCTCTCCCAGATCCCCCCGGACCCAGGAAGGGGGCCGCACGCGGCGGACCTAGAACCGAACCCATTAGCACGACGGGGCAGCGCTCCCTGACAAGGTCCTTCTCTTCAGCTCTATGGAACTAGGTTTGCCGCCCTCTCACTCCCCCCAAGAGCCCGCGTCATCAGAAGGAGCCACGGACCTCACAAATTACACAGGATTCACGCTGCCTAGGCCACGATCCTTCGTCAATTCCACTGCGTCCGCGCCCCCAGGGACCAGGATCCCCTGTGAATTATGCTGTGGCCGCCCCCAGGGCCAGCATCCCCTGTACATGACGCTGTGTCCGCCCCCCCCCGGGCCAGGATCCTACCTTCACTACGCTGCGTCCGCGCCCCCAGGGTAAGGATCCCTCATAAATGACACTGCGTCCGCAGCCTCTCTTGGCCACGATCCGCTGGAAATGACACTGGGCGCCTGTCCCCAGGGCCATCATCCCTCGTAGATTTCGGGAGCGGCCAAGAGGGGGGTGTCCAAGAGGGGGGGGTGCAAATCATGACCGGCGGCATGTGCGCGGCCCAAGGGGGGGGCCAGGGATGTAATAGAACAAGAAGAAGCGCCATGAATTCGGGGGATATATAGAGGCCCACGCCATGATATCCCCCCCCCTAGTCATCACCCCCCTCTTTGCCGCCCCCGAAGATTACGCCGCCTCTGCGCTCGCAGGGCCAGGACCCAGCGCGAATTACTGCATTGTGCTGTGGCCGCCCCCCCCGCAGGGCCAGGATCCCTTGGTACCTTACCCTGCGTCTGCGCTCCCAAGGCCGCGATCCCTCCTCCTCCTCCTCCTCCTCCTCCTCCTCCTCCTCCTCCTCCTCCTCCTCTTTCTCCTCCTCTTTCTCCTCCTCCTCCTCCTCCTCCTCCTCCTCCTGGTCCTCCTCCTCCTCCTCCTCCTCCTCCTCCTGACGATGCGTCTGCGGTGCCACGGCCACACTCCGTGGTGAATCACCGCGCCTCCGCTCTCCCACAAAGACCTGGCCATCCTGGGGCGCCCTGGTGAGGTACGCAGGATTCACGATTCCAGGGCTACGATTACCAGCCTGGAACATATCCCTATCCCTATGCTGGGCATCTCCTCATCACGATGTCAATCTTAGGGATTCCCTTATTTTTGAGGGCGCATCCCTAAGATTGTCATCGCCTTTTGGCATGTCAATCTTAGGGATAGGGATACGTTCGAGGCTGGTAATACGATCCCTTGGAAATGACATTGGGTTCCCGCTCCCAATACCACGACCCCTCGTAAATTCGCTGGGTTCGCGCTCCCAGTGCCAAGATGCTTCGCAAAATACGCTCGATCCCTTGAAAATCACACAGGCATGCCAGAGGTATGCCGAAGGTACTCTGGATGTACGTCGGACACACTCGTTGAAGGCACGCTGCAGGTACGCTGAAGGTATGCAGTTCCTGTCCTGTAGATAATTAGAAGCGTTACTGAAGGGACGCCGAAGCTACGATGAAGGTCGGAGGTGAGGGGGTGAGATCGAAGTGGAACGGAAAGCCCCCCTACCGGGAAATCGGTTTCGGTTTCGTGTTCACGCGTGCTGTGCGTGCGGGCGAGGCGAAGCTGCGTGGGCGGGCGAGAAGAAAGACTCCTCCGGCTGAGGCGCGGCCAGACCAAATGATTCCTTTCCGGGAGCCGGTGGCCCGCGGTGTCCCGCTGGAGTCCCGCCTCCGGCCGAGGCGCGGCCGGACCAAATGATTCCTTTCCGGGGGCCGGTGGCCCGCGTTGTCCCGCCGGTGTCCCGCCGGTGTCCCGCCGGTGTCCCGTCGGTGTCCCGATGATGATGAGGATGATGATGATGATGATGATGTCTATGTTGTTGATGATGATGGTGATGATGATGATGGTGATGATGGGGATAATGATGGTGTCCCGATGATGATGGTGATGATGATGATGATGTTGACAATTTTGATGATGATGATGCTGATGGTGATGGTGGTGATGATGATGGTGTCCCGATGATGATGATGATGATGTTGATGATGTTGTTGCTAATGATGATGTTGATGATGATGGTGTCCCGATGATGATGATGCTGATGCGGTTGATGGTGATGAGATGATGATAAGATGATGATGATGGTGATGATGATGATTGTGCCCCGATGATGATGATGAGGTTGATGATGATGCTGTTGAAGATGATGGTGATGATAATGGTGTCCCGATGATGATGAGGATGTTGATGATGACGACGATGGTGTCCTGATGATGATGACGCTGATGATCAGGATGTTGATGAGGTGGTGATGATGACGTTGACGATGGTGACCCGATGATGGTGATGATGATCATGATGATGTTGATGATGATAGTGTCCCGATGATGATGATGATGATGATGATGATGATGATGATGATGATGATGATGATGATGATGATGATGATGGTGACGTTGATGATGGTGTCGCGATGATGCTGATGTTGATGATGATGATGATATTGATGATGATGATGTTGCTGCTGATGATGATGATGATGGTGTCCCGATGGTGATGATTAGGCTGATGATATTTGTCATGGTGTCCCGATGATGATGATGATGATGATGACGATGATGATGATGATGATGATGATGATGATGATGGTGACGATGATGTTGTCCCCGTAATGATGATGGTGATAATGATGGTGGTGTCCCGATGATGATGATGTTGATGACGTTGATGGCGATGATGTTGATGATGATGATGATGACGACGTTGATTGTCAGATCGATTGTGAGATCGATAGTGAGACCGAGTGTGAGATCGATCGTGAGCTCGATAGTGAGATCGATTGTGAGATCGATTGTGAGATCGATAGTCAGATCGATCGAATGAAATAGGTCGAGTGAGATCGATTGTGAAATCGATCGAGTGAGAGAGATCGAGCGAGACCGATAGTGAGACCGATCGAGTGAGACGTTGGTTCCTCCCCCCCCCCGAACCTCCTTATCACCCGAAGGGTGGTCGTATAGGTACGCGTGTCCAAATCAGCGAAGATGCGCTGAAAGTACGCCGAAGGTAGACAAGACCGGGGGGCCAGGAGATGCCAGGCCCCCTACTCTCCTCGCTCCCCCAGGCCCTCGCTACCCCAGACCCCGCCGACCCAGGAAGGGGCAGCACGCGACGGACCCCGAAACGAACCCAGTACACAGGATTCACGCTCCCAAGGCCGCGACCCCTTGTCAGGTACGCTGTGGCCGCGCCCCCCCGGGGCCAGGATGCCCTGTAGATCGTGCCGTGGCCGCCCACCTCGGGCCATCGTCCTGCAAACTGCGCTGTGCCCGCTCCCCCCCCCCCCCGGGGCCAGGATCCTTCCTGCAGTACGCTACGCCCGCGCTCGCAGGGCAAGATGATGCCTCTAAAGTTACACTGCGTCCGCGGCCTCAGAGCCACGAGGCCGCTGGACATTACCTGAGCATTTACTTACAGTTGGGGCGTTGACCTAAGGAACCCTAAGTAAGGGACGAGGCCCCTTTTTCCCACAAGCTCAACTCCGATTTTCCATGGAAAACCTGAGGGAAACCCAAGGAGCACTGCAAAACAACTAAGGAACACGGAGCCCCCCCAAACGAAAAGGGTTCCCTCTTCAGCGCCCCGACTGTAGGGTGGAGGGCTCAGGGCGAAATCCATATGGGCCTTGCACCTCGAAAGTAAGCCCGTCTCGTGATTCACCTCTTGCAGACTCAAAGCCTCGAGAACCAATCGAAAAGGCACCTCAGAGTTCACCCTGTGCCTCCACCCGGAGAACATGCTCGGATTCCACTCGGTTGGCGCTCCCAGGGCCGCGATCGCTTGGAAAGCACGCCGCGTCCGCGGTCCCGTGGCCACGAGCCGTTGAAAAAGAACCGCGCTTCCGCTCTCCCAGACCCCCCTGGCCATCTCGGCGCGCCCTGGTGAGGTGCGCATGCACGCTTCCAGGGCTACGCTCCCCTGACAGTTACACTGGGTTCGCGCTCCCAAGGCCAAGATGCTTCGCAACAGGTGCTCGTCCCCTGGAAAACTACGCAGGGACGCCGAAGGTGTGCCGAAGGTATGCCGAAGGCACTCTGGAGGTACGTCGGACACACTCGTTGAAGATACGCCGAAGGTACGCTTACGAAAGGTACGTCGGACACACTCGTTGAAAGCACGCCGAAGGTAGAATGAAGGTACGCGGCTTCTGTATTGTTTTGACTTAGAGGCGATATCGGAGATACGCCGAGGGTAAGGTGTAAGTACCCGTGCCAAATCAGCGAAAATGCGCTGAAAGTACGCCGAAGGTAGACAAGACAAGGGGGACGGGAGATGACAGACCCCCCACCCCCCCTCGCTCCCCCAGGCCCTCGCTACCCCAGACCCCGCGGACCCAGAAAGGAGCCACAGGCGACGGACTTAGAAACGAACCCACTACGACGGGGCAGCACTCCCAAGCAAGCTCTTTTTGTTCCTGCTCCACAGAAGTCGGTCTGCCCCCCCTCACTCCCCAGACCCCGCGGGTTAAAACGGTGCCACGATCCCTCGCAAATCACACGAGATTCACGCTCCCAGGACCACGATGCCTAGTCAATTTCACTGTGTCCGCGCCCCCAGGATCCCCCGTATATGATGCTGTGTCCGCCCCCCCAGGGCCAGGATCCCTCGTATACGCTGGAATTCACGCTTCCAAGGCCACGATCCCTCGTACATTACGCTGCGTCCGCGCTCACAGTGCCACACCCCCTCGTATATGACGCTGGATTCGCGCTCCCAATGCCAAGATGCTTTGCAAAATACGCTCGACCCCTGGTAAATCATTGCACGAAGGTGCAATGAAGGTACAATGAAGGCACGCCGAAGGTACACTGACGGTACGAGCGTCCAAATCAGCAGATGTACGCTGAAAGTACGCCGAAGGTAGACAAAACCGGGGGGACGGGAGATGCCAGACCCTCCGCCCCCCCTCGCTACCCCAGGCCCTCGCTACCCCAGACCCCGCGGACCAGAAAGGAGCCACAGGCGACGGACCCAGAAACGAACCCACTACGACGGGGCAGCGCTCCCAAGCATGCTCCTTCTTCTGCTCCAAGAAAAACTCGGTGTGCCTCCTCCTCGCCCCCGAGACCCCGCGGAGCCAAAACGGGGCCACCGCCCTTTGCAAATTGCACAGGGTTCGCGCTTCCAAAACGCTTCCAGGGCCACGACCCCTAATTACTTACACCTTGCTCGCGCCACCGGGACCAGGAGATCACGCATGACTTTCGCTGTGGCCGCCCGCCCAGGGCCAGGTCCCCCTCGTTTACGCTGGGATTCGCGCTCCCAGGGGCCACGATCCCTCGTACGTCACGCCTGCGCCCGCGCTCACGGTGCCACACCCCCTCGTATATGACGCTGGATTCGTGCTCCCAATGCCAAGATGCTTTGCAAAATACGCTCGACCCCTGGAAAATCACTGCACGAAGGTACAATGAAGGTACAATGAAGGCACGCCGAAGGTACACTGACGGTACGAGCGTCCAAATCAGCAGATGTACGCTGAAAGTCGCGCTACCTTAAACTGTGTCCACCCCCCCAGGGGCCAGGACCCCTCGCGCACTACGCTGGGTCCGCGCCCCGGGGCAATGATGATATCGCTCCTACACTACGCTGCGTCCGCGGACCCTCGGGGCCACGGTCCCTCCTAATACACTCTGCGCCCGCTCTCCCATGAATGGGGCCCTGGGACATACAAATAAATACACACAAATACAAGGATTCCCCATAGTTTCCCATCTTTCCTAAGTTTGTGTCTTCCCGCCCACTCCCCAGAGTGTTCCATACTTTCCTGGGAATCGACGATTCATTGTGTCTGTGTGTTTTTTCCCCTCCTGATCCCAGGGCCCCGGATCCTTGTAAACTACGCTACGTCCGCGCTCCCAGGGCTGCGCTCCCTCGTGACTTGCGCTGTGTCCGCGCCCCCAGGGCCACGGACCCTTGTCAATTGCGCTGTGTTCGCGCTGCCAGAACCACCTGGCCATCGTGGGGCGCCCAGGCCCCGCCAGTTATGCAAAAGAAGCGTTTTGCTGGAGACATCCTGGGGGTTTCGGCGCGCAGGGCGCGCCATCCTCGAGCGGGCACGCAAACAGTATACTTTGTTAAATTTGTCTCGCAAGCCTCCAAACCTCCAAACCTTGTGTTCTATCGCGGATTCTGCAAAAAAGCTCCGCACCCTTTCTCTTACTAGGAAAAACAATTGTCTGCGGACCCCGTTATTTATCGCGGATCCGGGCACGCGCGAAACACGTGTTTTCAAACAAACAGAATCAAACTTAATTCGTTACCTACCGCAAAGAAGTTCGCTGGCCCACCTCAAATCAGACCCAGGGGTAAACCAACTAAAAGAGAGCCCTTCAGGGCGGAGACCTTTTTGGGAAAAACAAAGCATTGGATCCCTGGGTACAAATACCACCGCCCCCCCCCGACCTCTCGCGGAGCGTGTTCCGACGAATATCTCGAAGAGAATCCGGCGAGTACGACATGGGCTCTCCGGGACAAGCAGCGGCATCGGCATAAATGTTCCTCCTCTCAGGTCCAGCATGGACAGCTCGAAGCTGCAGTCGTACGACAGCCCAAGCGAGTCTCGGACGGTGGAGAATAGTCGAGTGTTCACGACCTCCCGCATCGCCAGCAAGCACATCGATGGGTACAGCGGGTGGTCCTTCACTGAGCGGCCCCTGAAAACGACAGAGCCGATTTTGTTGCCGGTTCCGTTTTGCCGTTGTTGATGCCGGTTCCGTCGCCGTTTGTTTGCCGTTCCGTCGCCCCTTTTGTTCCAGTTCCAATTCCGGCTCCAATCCCGGAGCCGTTTCTGATGCCGTTTCCAGTCGCCGTGTTTATACCGTCTCCATGTTCAAGTGACACTTTTTCGGAAGCGGTGCAAAAACGGCCCTGTCGCTTCTGGGGCCCACTAACCCTCCACCTCAATCTTCCGTACCTTCCGACCTCCTCGGAAGAACAAGGGAGGGGGGGGGCGTTCGGCAACGGTGCAAAAACGGCCCCGCCGTCTCTGTAGAGGCCTCCTAGATGGGGTCCGAGTAGATGGGGTCGGAGGATCTCGACGCATCGCCGATACATCGCCGATGCATCGGCCATGCATCGGCCATGCACTGGCGACGCTGGCGATGCATCGGCGACGTCGGCGTGGAGAAAATTGGGCCCCACATCGAGGCGCATCGCCGATGCATCGGCGATGCGTCGGCGTTCCTCCGACCCCGCCTACTCCGACCCATCCAGGAGTCCTGGAGTTCGGCAACGGAGCAAAAGCAGCCCTGCCGCTTCTGGTGGGCAAACAGACCTACCTCGCTTTTGACCACCCTCGCTTCCAGGAGATACCAAGCGGTGCCAAACTACGACCTGTACTGGTCAGGCCGCTTGACGAGGAGGCGCGTGGTATGACTTGGTTTTGCCTGGAAGCGAAAGGGTTCGAGGAAAAGGAGGAGGAGGAGGAGGAGGAGGAGGGAAGGAGGGAGCAGGAGGGAGAAGGAGGGAAAATGAGAGAGGATGGGAGGGAGGGAGGGAGGGGGGAGGGGGGGGAGGGAGGGAGGGAGGGGAGGGGGGAGGAAGAGGAGGGAGGAGGCAGAGGAGGAGAGCGGGCCCTGGGCAGAAAGGCCCGAGGTCTCTTGGCTAAGCTCCAGGGGTAGGCCCGAGGTCTCTGGGCAGGTGATTCACGCTCTCGGCGGTGGACAAACCTCCCTTTAGTAGACCTTCCCTTAGTGAAAACGGCCTGGGACCGAAACCGACGGACCTGGACCCGCAAAAATGACGGCCGCGACGCCCTCTCGCGAACCGAAAACGGCCAACTCCTTAATCGACGTGTCAGGGTAGGACTGTCCACCCCGGACGTTCCAAGGCGCTTCTGTCGGGTCGGGCGAAAGGGGGGGGATAGCAAAGGGGGGGTTGGAGAATCAGCCCACGTAGCTGATTTCCACAGCGCCTCCCGGCGCCGGAGGCGGCCCTGTATCGAGGACTGGGCTCCTCGGTGAGGCCGAAACCCGCTGCAGGCAGCACATTTCGTAACCCCCCCTTCTCCAATCCCCCCTTGTCCCCCTTTTGTCCGGCGCGGATTTCTCGGATCGGCGCTGGGGCCCCCTGGCGGCGCCTCCGGCGCCGCCCCTGGCGCGCTCCGCGCGCCAAGGAGGGGGGTCCAGCGCCGATCCGAGCAATCCGCGCGGACCTCCAAGTTTTTACCTACCACCGAAGGCTGATAGGTTTCTAGTGGTCTCAAAAGAGAGCATCATGACTCCCCAGGGGGATCTGGGCAGATGCCGGACGGGTGCCGCGGGAATCCGGGGAGTGCCGCGGGAATCCGGGGACTCCTTTTTTAGCCAACAGTAACGCACTTCGTGGTCTTCGAGTTCCCAGAACTCCATTCCTGGGCATGATTTTGAATACCCGGAGCCATCTGTAGGCCACTTCGTGTTCTTCGAGTTCCCAGAACTCCATTCCTGGGCATGATTTTGAATGCCCGGAGCCAACTGTAGGCCACTCCGTGGTCTTCGAGTTCCAAGAACTCCATTCCTGGGTATGATTTTGAATGCCCGCAGCCAACTGTAGGCCACTTCGTGTGATTCGAGTTCCCAGAACTCCATTCCTGGGCATGATATTGAATGCCCGCAGCCAACTGTAGGCCACTTCGTGTTCTTCGGGTTCCCAGAACTCCATTCCCGGTCCACATTTTGAATGCTGAGACAGGCTGATGCTGAGGCTGAGGCAGGCTGAGGCTGAGGCAGGCTGAGGCTGAGGCCGAGGCTGAAGGCAGACTGAGGCTGAGGCTGAAGCAGGCTGAGGCCGAGGCTGAGGCAGGCTGAGGCTGAGGCTGAGGCAGGCTGATGCTGAGGCAGGCTGAGGCTGAGGCTGAGGCTGATGCAGGCTGAGGCTGAGGCAGGCTGAGGCTGAGGCCGAGGCTGAAGGCAGACTGAGGCTGAGGCTGAAGCAGGCTGAGGCTGAGGCTGAGGCAGGCTGAGGCTGAGGCTGAGGCAGGCTGATGCTGAGGCAGGCTGAGGCTGAGGCTGAGGCTGATGCAGGCTGAGGCTGAGGCAGGCTGAGGCTGAGGCCAGGCTGAAGGCAGACTGAGGCTGAGGCTGAAGCAGGCTGAGGCTGAGGCTGAGGCAGGCTGAGGCAGGCTGATGCTGAGGCAGGCTGAGGCTGAGGCTGAGGCTGATGCAGGCTGAGGCTGAGGCAGGCTGAGGCTGAGGCCGAGGCTGAAGGCAGACTGAGGCTGAGGCTGAAGCAGGCTGAGGCTGAGGCAGGCAGGCTGAGGCTGAGGCAGGCTGATGCTGAGGCAGCTGAGGCTGAGGCTGAGGCTGATGCAGGCTGAGGCTGAGGCAGGCTGAGGCTGAGGCCGAGGCTGAAGGCAGACTGAGGCTGAGGCTGAAGCAGGCTGAGGCTGAGGCTGAGGCAGGCTGAGGCTGAGGCTGAGGCAGGCTGATGCTGAGGCAGGCTGAGGCTGAGGCTGAGGCTCATGCAGGCTGAGGCTGAGGCAGGCGGAGGCTGAGGCCGAGGCTGAAGGCGGACTGATGCTGAGGCTGAAGCAGGCTGAGGCAGAGGCAGGCTGAGGCTGAGGCTGAGGCAGGCTGATGCTGAGGCAGGCTGAGGCTGAGGCTGAGGCTGAGGCAGGCTGAGGCTGAGGCTGAGGAGGCCGAGGCTGAGGCAGACTGAGGCTGAGGCTGAGGCTGCAGGCTGAGGCTGAGGCTGAGGCTGAGGCTGAGGCTGAGGAGGCTCAGGCTGAGGCAGGCTGAGGCCGAGGCTGAGGCTGAGGCTGACTGAGGCTGAGGCTGAGGCAGGCTGAGGCTGAGGCTGAGGCTGAGGCAGGCTGAGGCTGAGGCTGAGGCAGGCTGAGGCTGAGGCTGAGGCTGATGCAGGCTGAGGCTGAGGCAGGCTGAGGCTGAGGCCGAGGCTGAAGGCAGACTGAGGCTGAGGCTGAAGCAGGCTGAGGCTGAGGCTGAGGCAGGCTGAGGCTGAGGCTGAGGCAGGCTGATGCTGAGGCAGGCTGAGGCTGAGGCTGAGGCTGATGCAGGCTGAGGCTGAGGCAGGCTGAGGCTGAGGCCGAGGCTGAAGGCAGACTGATGCTGAGGCTGAAGCAGGCTGAGGCTGAGGCTAAGGCAGGCTGAGGCTGTTGCCACTGCGACTGTCATCGCGAATGCGACTACGACTGCGAGAACAGCAGAATTCTACAACTGGATTCTCATCTGAATCGTAAGGGGAATGACATTGAATGCTTCCAAATATGCTCCTACACATCGCTTTTAGGTTGCTTTGCCGGGATAATCATGTTTATGTCCCTTATTGCTCCCCGATCTGAGGCTGCTGGGGGCCCGCCGAGCGCTCCTTCACCGGCGAGCCGGGGGCGCTCCAGGAGAAGCGGCTGCTCGCCATCGCCTGCCGGGGGGGGGGGGGGGGGGGCGCCACGGCCTGCGCCGGCCGAGCCCCGGCCAGGCCCGCCCCCGGGCCCAGGAGCTTCAGACGCCTTACAGGGGGATTGTCGACGAACAAAAAATAAAAATACCTCAAACATACACAAAAAATACCCCACAGTACCCCCAGAATGCCCCCAACATACCCCAAACATACATCCAAAATACACCGAAAATACCCCAGGAGCTTCCCGAGGGGGGCGCGGAGGCCCAGGACGTCCGTGGCGAGTCCAGCACCGGCGACCATGGCAGGGGCTAGGGCAAGGTCGGGCGCGTCTCCCTGCGGGCGGATTTTTTGGGCGAAGAATGAAAAACAACTGAACCAGTCATCGCAAGAGATCCACAAATAATCGAGAACTCGCCCCCAGACTACTTTTGGACGCCCGAAATGGGTACGGAGAGAATGGGTACAATGCCCAACAGCAAACGTTGTCCCAAACCAACACAGCGGCCGCTGTTGGGCAGGCGGCCCTGTGTCTCGAATGGACACGGGCCGCGGCGGCGTGGACGGCGAATCCTGCTCAAAATGAACAGGAACTGCTGTTGGGCATTGTACCCATTCTGTCCGTGCCCATTTCGGGCGTCCAGAGGAGCAGGGTGCGGGCCAGTGCGGCCCGCCCGCGTGATCAGGACACGCGGTGAGGATGCCAGCTGGCTGTGAGCGCGAGGGGGAGTGAGGAGGAGAGGGCCTTCTCGGAAGGCGGCGGGACTTCTCGGAAGCCCTTGCGCCTTCTGAGCAGTCTTTTTCCGCACCTTCGGGGGAGGCTCAGGAAACCTCTCAGAAGCCCGGAAAATGTCCGAGCCTTCTGAGAAGGCCTTCTCCTTCTCACTTCCCCCCCCCCGCTCGCCGCCGAATAAAGACGCACGGTGAGGATGCAAGGGTCTTGGAGGGCCATGTCGGCACTTTGCGAGCGGGGCGCAGCCAGCGAAAACGCCCAAGGATGGGTGTAACCCTGGAGAGCCGCTCTCATCCTTGTTGTGCGGGTTCGACGGTGACACAAACATCTGCATGAACAGACACTTGTCTGAGGTCTCTTGGATTCGCGCTGGATCCCCCCTCCGCGCACCAGGGGCGGCGCCAGCCAGGAGGGGTCAGCGCCGACCCAAGAGATCCGCGGGGACCTCCGAAAGCGATGGCGCTCACACGCACGATGCTACCATGATATAACAGAACGTGATCGGCCCACGAACCTGGAAAGAAACATAGAAATGCAAGGCATGGCAACGTTTCCCAGACACCTGATTGGGCGACAAGCAATTGCAAAGCTGACGGTATCGATCTTGACGTACCGTGCCAAGGGCTGTGCTGCTCTGCGCCGTGCCGAATTGCGATGTGCCATGCCGCGATTGTGCTCTATAGCGATGTGGATCGAGTCCTCCTTTGCATCCGAGTCTTGATCTTAAGTTCAAGCTGCCTGAGCGCATAGTCGGTGCCCCAGAGCTGATTGACATGGGACACGCCAGGGGCACGCGCCGCGGAACGTCCCACGGGACGCGCCAGGCGACGTGCCAAGGGACAAGCCATGGGGACGCACCGCGGGACGTGCCAAAGCGACGCGCTACGGAACGTGCCACTGGACGTGCCACGGGACGTGCCAAGGGACGCACCGCGCGATGTGCCAGGGGGGCTCGCCACGGGACGTGCCACGGAACGTGGCAGGGAACGTGCCAAGCGACGCACCAAGAACGTGCCAGGGAACGCGTCAGGGAATGTGCCACGGGACGTCCCTGACCCAAGGCCAAGATCCATCGAAAATCATGCTGTGTCCGCGCCACCAAGGCCACGATCGTTAGTAAAAAACGCTGGGTCCGCGCTCCCAAGGCCACAATCCCCCGTGAATTACGTTGCGTCCACTCTCCCCGGGCCACGATCCCTTGCAAAGTACTCTGCGTCCGCGCTCCCAGGGCCGCGCTCCTTTGTGAAGTACCCAGTGTCCGCGCTCCCAGGGCCACGTTCCAATTGCACTGTGTCCGCCCTCACAGGGCCACGATCCATCGTAAACGACGCTGCGTCCGCGCTCCCAAGGCCACGACAAAGCATGAATTACGCTGCGTCCGCGCTCCCAGGGCCACGATCCATTGCAAATTACGCTGCGTCCGCTCTCCCTGGGCCACGATCCCTTGTAAACGACGCTGCGTCCGCGCTTCCAGGGCCGCGCTCCCTATTGAATTATGCTGCGTCCGCGCTCCCAGAGCCACGTTCCCAAGTAAATCACGCTGTGTCCACCCCCAAGGCCACGATCCATCGTAAATTACGCTGCGTCCGCGCTCCCAGGGCCACGATCTATTGTAAATTACGCTGCGTCCGCGCTCCCAGGGCCACAATCCATTGTAAATTATTCTGCGTCCGCGCTCCCAGGGCCACGATCCCTTGAAAATTACGCTGCGTCCGCCCTCCCTGGGCCACGGTCCCTCGCAAGCTGCGCCGCGTTCACGCTCCGACGGCTGCGCTCCCTTGTGAGTTTCGCTGCGTTCGCGTTTTCGGGGTCCGTTTCTTAATACATTACGTTGTGTTTGGGCTCTCAGAACCACCTGGGCATCCTGGGGCGCCCAGGCCGCTCGCGTTCTGCAAAGCAAGCGTCTCGCTTGGGACATCCTCGAAGCGTCTCGCTCGAGGCATCCTCAAGAAATTCTCAAGCGTCTCGCTCGGGCACGTGACAAGAAGCACTCCACCTGAGACATCCCCTGACTTCTGGCCCCAAGGCGAGGAACGAGAGATAGCACAAAACAAACGTTTCGCTCGAGAGATCCTCAACAAATCAGGCAACAAGCGTTTCATTCGAGACATCCGCGACAAACGAACATGCTTCCTTCACCCTGTGTTTTATCGATCGGAATTTCAAACAAACGCTCGGGACAGCCTGAAATTTCAATTCGCTGGCCCGTCTCGACCTCGATACTTTTCGCAGAAATTAACAAGAATCAGTTCGCTGGCCCGCCTCAAGTCGATTCCGGGGTTACCCGGAGAAACTCAACATGGAACGAGGCCCATGCCTCTGCCCCAAGAGAACATGGGCGCACGAGGAGCGCGGGAGGAACAACGATGGAAAGACCGAAGGACAACTCGGGAACAGCGAGCCCCGAGCCCTTGACGAACCAACTCCTTGTTGAGGAAAAGAAGCAGGAAAAAAGGAAACGCCCAGAAATCGGCGCGGAACGCCAGCAACAATTCATGTGTGTGGCTTGTTGTTCTTCGATTGTTTCCACGTCTTGACTCTATTCCGTCTTCTCATCTCCGACCGCGCGCACCCACATGAGTGCGCCGAGGAGGGGGGCCAGGACGAAAGGGCGATTGAAGCACACCGTGGCCCGAGGCACGTGCGCTCACCGGGGCGCGCGTTGGGGGGGGGCCGAGAGAGCACGGGGGGGCCATGACATCTGGGAGAACCACGGCCCAGGCCGTGATTTCCCCCGGAGGAGGAGGAGGAGGAGGAGGAGGCTTTCCTCTGCTAGCCCTGAGGCGTGACCGAGGTTACACAACGTTAGTCTGTGCTGCTGGCAGCCTTTGCTGCTGCCTCTCTGGCCTGGACGCGTGCGAGCAACGCACGCATTCCAGGAGTCGACACCAAGCCCTCAAGGCTAGCTGCCGAAGTCGCAGCGTCGGGCGGAGGAGGAGGAGGAGGAGGAGGAGGAGGAGGAGGAGGAGGATCTAGTCCCCAAGCGCCCCCCTCGCTTCGAATGCCCCCCCGATCCTGGCGAGGTGCGACGTCAGGGAGGGATCGGCCAGACGGGAGAGTCGACCTGGGCTCGGCGATGCCTCGATGTCAGATCGGCACTGGGCCCCCGACGGCGAATGCACACGCTGGCCATCGCTCGGACGTCCATTCCCTGTGTTTTTTTCGTTTTCGTGCGTGGCTTTGTCGCCAAATGATCAAGGATGCTCCTCGATGGTCCTCGCAGAAGGGAAAAAGCACACGTCCGAGCGATGCCAAGCACGTGCCTCGGCTGGGAGGGCTCTGAAGCCGCAGAGGGCGATGAATGTGCGATTGGGGGTCGATGCGTTCACCCCTGAGCCCATCCTCCCCACACGATCCTCGCCGCCTGGCTTTCGGGTCATGACTCGGGTCTCCGGCGACCGGTCGAGAAGAGCGGGGCACCACCCCCGGACGCCTCTCGGCGAAGCACGGCCGCCGCGACGCATCCCGAGGCCGGAAACCTGCCGAGACCCAGCGACGAGGTAGACAGCCCGGCCCCCTGAGACGGGGCTTCTCCAGGGGTGCGTTCTGACCAGCATGTCGAGGAGGATCCAGCCGTGGCCACGAGTGAACCCCCAGAACGATCCGACACCTCCAGAAAGCGCACCTCGACCCTCGAACCTCTGAGCCCTACACCCGCCAAGCGTTGCCCCAAACCTGGGCCCAGGACCGGCCCTGGCCGTCAGACGGGTGCGGCCGTGCTCGGCTCTGGGCAGGGGCCCACCAAAACACCGTGTTGCGTGTTTGTGTCGTTTTCGTTTCGATGCGTGTTGCAACGAAGAGCGCTCCGACTGCCCCAACCAAAAACGTTCTGGCGCAAGTCCGAAGTCATAATTTGCTGATTTGCCAATAATGGGGCCTCGAACGAACACAAAACGAACAAAAAAAGAACCCCAAAAAACCCACTATATCGCCGAAGCACCCGTCCCAATCGAGGATCGAGGGGGATCCTGGACCGAGGAGGATCGAGAACCGAGGGTGGGGAAGGAACGCTGACCGAGGAGGCAGACCGGGAAGGAGGACCGAGAATCCAGGAGAAACGTGGACCGAGGGGGGAGGTCGAAGATCGAGGACCGAGGGGGGGGGGGACGTGGATGGACAAGTGAAGGGGCTCCAGGATACACAAATAAGTACACACAAATAAAAAGATGCCCCATATTTTGCCATATTTTCTGGGTTTCTGTCTTCCCCCCCACTTCCCATATTCTCCCATATTTTCTGGGGAATCGAGGATTAATTGTGTCTGTGTGTTTTTTCTTCTCCTGAGAGAGGGCCTTGCGCCACTCGGCGTCGCCCTTGCCGTAGCGGTTCGGGGCCCCGCCGCCCACGTTCGCCACCGCGCGCGCGTCGCTGTCCTCGAGGTGGGCGCTGCGCTGCCTCTCCTCGGGCGAGAGGTCCTCGCCCCTGATCCGGGAGGGCGAAACACACCGACCTGCAACGCTAGCTCTCCTCCAATCCTCCTCACTTTTTGTTAACATTGGCCACGCAAGAGGTCTCGCGGGCCGCTCCCAGCCCCAGCTGAACTGAAAAACAGGGCGCGGGAGGGGGGACAACGGCCCAACCCTCGAGCCTTCACAAGGCGGCGGCCCTGCACGGGTGCGCGAAGAAACGAGGAGGAGGAGGGAGTCTAACATCGCTTCACCTTCGTGAACCCGAGTTTTGAAACAATACGCGCGCGGGTTGTCAACGGACTTCGATCTCTGGCGGCGCCCACAGGGACCCTGGACGGCCAAAAAAATATGCATGGTGAACTCCCACTCCCGGGGGGGCTCAAACCCTTTGGATAAAAAACACGATGCCGGAATTCAGGGATGGTCGACAACTGCCAAAGGGTAGTCTCGGCTCGGGCCGGACGACAGGGGAAGGGGCAAAGCAAAGGGGGACTTGGCGAACCAGCTCACGCAGCCAGATTTCTCGGCGCCTGCCGGCGCCAGGAAGCGCCCACGCGTCGGGGAGAGCGCCAGGCGGCGGGGCCGAAACCCAGCCGCACGCAGCAGTTTTCGCAGCCCCCCATCTCCCGATCCCCCCCGCTCGCACGACGAGATCTTCGCCCCCAAGGTGTCACCTCTTGTGCCTGGGACGCTTCTGGCGACATCCCCAAGGCGAGCCATGTGGTTCATCTGTCCCTGCTGGTTTGACTTTGGCCTTGCGTCGTTTGCGGACGCGCGCGCTCAAATAGAACCAGAGCGCTTGCAAAGAAATGCAAAACAGCGATGCCCCATTACACACTGAAATTGCCGACTGTTTTCTGGGACCTGTTTTTGGCGCCTGCGGTGAGCCCTGTTTTTGGGCGCGCCGTCGCATTTGCACTCAATGCGCCTGACAAACGGCCCGTCGGTATCAGATGCAATGTTCCTGTACATTTGCACTTGGCGCTTACTTGAGATTGAAGACGACGGTTTTGATACAGCTCCCCCCATTTTTCGATCAGTGAGGTATTTCTGAAGCTTGGCGCAGATATTTGCAAGGGAATGCCTGTGTCGATTCGGTCTCGGCAGCCAACATGCATCCATTGAGCATAGAAATTTGCAGAGCACGCAGCTGCTGCAAATGAGTATTCTAGGCCGCCGAACAACGAGTGCGACCATCATTTGGACAGCTGCAGAATAACCCTGGCTTCACTTATGCACCTCGACTGTTCATTGCCAGCGCGTCCACCATGGGTTACAAGGCCAGATGCGCCAGCCCGACGGGCCAAAGGCGTGCTAAAATCTGCGGCAACAACATTCGCATACTTCTGCTCCGCGCGCGCGTGGCCGCCACTGGGGATCTCCGGACGAATAGCACCCCGATCAAAGCTCTTCGGAGGCCTGGTGTGGGGCTCTGAGGGCGATTGTGAGGCCGAGCGCTCGAACTGTCCGTTGGGGCTCCCCCTCAGGGGGTCTTCCTGAAGTTGTCGTGGGGCTCTACAGCGACGTCCTGGGAGAACTCGGGCCGTGCTGGAGTCCCCGTGGGCTGTTTTAGGGGCTCTCTTGGCGGCTTGAGCGATTTTCGAAGGGCTTCTTGGGCCGTCTTAGAGCGTCGGCGGCCGAAAAAATGAGAACGCTGACGACCTTCAAAAAACACTGGGGGATCATTGCCTTTTTCCTCTTAGGGGGCTTTTTGGGAGTGGTCTCGGAGGCATCTTCGGGCGTCCTGGAGGTGGTCGGAGCCGGGTGATCCTGGGCCGTCCCAGACCGCCTTGGGGGCCTCTCCTC